ATTTCACTGGACAAAAGAGAAAAAAAAATCCCATTCCCAGCTCTTCCATTGCAACCTGCATGTTTTTTTCTGAGACCGTAACTTTGTTCCGTCATGTCAGTTGGAGAGACATTTCCCTGGGTTGGGGGCTATCATGTGCAGTCAAACTTTAGAGTCCCCCAATTTTCCATCACAATGTTAACATCAAAATAGGAAGCTTCTCAAAACCACTCTGGTTTTATGCTAAAAGTGCTGCCACCAATCCTGGTAGTCTAATAGATCAGGATCACACAGTTCCGGGATAGACACAGCCCAGAAATGAAAGAAGCTGGATTAATAGCTAGAAAATAAGGTATGAAATAGAATAATATTGCAATGTGTGAGCTGCATTCAGACTGATTTGGGATTGGCTTGATATTTATGGACTGCCCAGCAGATGTTGAGACTCATTCTCCCTTTGTATGCACGGTTTCAAAAATATAATTTTATCTGTAGGCACTTTCTCAAATGTAGGCATTTTTTATTTTATGTCATTTTCCTTAGCAAACTGCATCACAAATGTTTGAACATTACAGACTTTAGGGTCTAAATGCATTCTGTGTTCAGATTCAAGGAGTATGAATTTGGCACTTTCAAACTGAAAAGAAAATGGATCCAATTTCTCACTGTTCCTACATAAGTAAGCCAGGTTTTTTGAGTGTTGACTGGAATAGGTGCAAACATTTGGAAAGGTCACAGAATCTCATAACAATCAACAAACATTTCATGGGGACTAAGGCAATAACCTTGAAAAAGTGTTCCGTATGCACCTTCTAGTCAGCTATGCATGTGTAGACTCTCACGCATAATTCCAAGGGAAAAGAGAAAACAAAATGCCTGCAAACTTTAATGACACTTGATTGCTAAAATGCTTGAGCATGATGAGGTGGACAAATGTGGATACTGAAATCAATCAGAGATTACAAATGGCTCTGCTATCTCTGCTGGTTGCCATCTTTTGCCAACAGTGGCCAGTGCCAAAGCAGCTGAAACAAAAGACAGAGAAGAGATTTGCAACAGATTCAACTGAATTCAGATTCCTTTGAGTCCAACCCATGGATCCTGCAATGGACTGGCTTTTTCCAAGTCTCACAAACTACAGACATTCCAGAATTGCATACAAAAAGCAACACCCACCAAAAACTTCTGTAGGCCACAGTATGAAAAGTGAAGGAGTTGAAGAGGCATGTAGATTTTTTAAATATTGTTTCACTTTTGGAGAGATTTGCACAAATCCCCATTACCTAATATGCATTAGGTTTAATGCACATTAGCTTGTGTTAATATGAAAATTTGTGCAACGGAACATTGGCACACATGTAAATCAGAGCACTTAGAATGAAATTCTTCAACACAAAGATTCTGCCAAGCCGCAAATGACAGAAGGTTGTCCTACAAACTGAAAGAACAGATTTAACAAAACCTGTATGTTGCTAGGGTGATCTCAGGGTGCTTTTGTTAGCACAGACGGACATTTCCATTCCTGAATTCACAGCCTTGGTTAGTTCTGTAGTGGCTGGCTTTGGGAATATTTGGTTGGCTTGCAACCAGTCTCCTGTTCTGCAGTGAACTGAAGAACAGCTCAAGGCCATTGTGAGAACTCAGTACATCAAAAGAGAACATGAGACATCTCTGACCCGTAGCTACCATTTTCATGCAGCAGACAGTTATTCTGTATGGAGTTCCCTACTGAAGAAGCTAGAGATCACTGTTTTATGGAGATCTATATTTTCGAAGGCAGTGGTAAATGCCTACACTATCTACAATTCTGCCTGTGGGGCAAGAATCTTCTAAGGCAGGTCTGTGATACCAGCAGAGCAGTGGAAAACACCTGACAGATAAAATGGTTAAAAAGGCAACAGCCCAAGTCTAGTACTTACTAAGCAAGGAAATCCTTGGGATGGAGAATTCTATGGAAGAAAGGGATGCTGCCCATTATGGATTGGCCCAGAACACACACACACACACACACACACACACACACACACACACACAGAGAGAGAGAGAGAGAGAGAGAGAGAGAGAGAGAGAGAGAGAGAGAGAGAGAGGTTGCTTTTCTTTCAAAAGTAGAACTTGTATACTTTAAGAGTTAATCTAAGAAGAGTTTTGTGAAGCTCAGCCAACTCAGTCTGTAAATGTTGAACTTCCATTTATTTGTTTGTTTTAGTACCACAGGGACTGCAATCATGAAATATCAGCACACTTTGGAGGCAAACTTAAATTAAATTGTGGATGAGAGATGTTTTGTTTTGGACTGACCTGGTGTTCAGCAGCAGCAGCAGCAGCACCAAGTCTGGAGGAGGAACCAGAAGAGGGGACAGATACCAGCCATCAGTCCCTCCTTCTTCTGTAAAGACATGTTAGATCCCCAATGCCATATCTTCCCTTGCTCATAACCACTCTAATGGGGGCGCCAATCTGATCCCCAGGAACTCCCCAACAATTAAAACCAGCAAGTTAAAACTAATAAAACTTGGATGCTATGTAATAAAAATAGAGCCTGCTTGCAAAAGCCTCAGACCCAAAAACATATAAAAACTGACCAGCCCAACTGCATCTCTTACAGTAAACCAACAGAGACCCCGGTTCAGCCCAGCCCCACCTGGCCCCAAATGGCATACGCACTTCAGTCACTGGCCCAAGGCCACTGGATCTATGCTGCAGCCAGTGAGATGAATGCTCCGGCCCTGCTCCACCCCCAGGGTCCACTCTCACAGGTGTCCAGGGAAGGGAGGAGCACACAGGTGGTCCCAGAAGGTGGAGTAGTGAGGGGAGGGGCCGGCACACAAGTCCAGATCCTTTTGGATCCAGAATACCTGTTGCTCAGTTGTAGTCCCTGCCCACATCCTAGTATCCCCTGTGGATCTGATCAGCAGACTGGTCACCCCCTCCTCCAGGTCTGAATAGGGTGAGTCCCAGGAATAAGCCCTGGGGGACCCTGCTTGTCACCGTCTGCCATCCTGATGATTCCCCTTTAATAGTAACCCCTGCTTTCAGTCCATCAGCCATGCTCTAATTCATCGGACGGCACATTGGTCTATCCTAAAGCTCCTCAATTTCTCAACCAGGAAATCATGTGTCACTTTGTCGAAGGCCTTGCTAAAATTCAGGTAAACCACATCCACTGCATGCCCTCTGTCTAGCCACCTCAAAACCTTGTCATAGAATTCCACAAGTTTCATCTTGCAGGACCTGTTTTTCTGGAAACCATGTTGCATGGCCACCACCCTCCCATCCCTATCTAGGGACTCCAGAGCTTTTCATAGTATGAAAAGAGGCAAAATAGTCATTTGGCATCTATGCCTGTTTCCTGCGAGGGTACACCCGAGTCGACCTTAATTTAAAAACCAATGAGAGCTGCATGAAACGGAAGGTTCTGCTACCCACCTATAACTGAGCAAGCTTGGGGCTAATCTCACCTCTTTAGGGAAGAAATTCCATAATTTGGGTGCTACCACAAAGAAGGCCTCAAACATTTGGTTCTGACACCACTGACTCAGATGTGGATTTCAAGTACATCTTTGCGTGGACACAAGATGACGCTTTCTGGCAGCCATCTTAGCTGGGCAAAATCTATGCCATGTTAACTATAAAATTGATTCTCTATTCCCCTGCACATCAGTAAAGATAACTTTAGCTACATTTTGTACTAAGGGAGTCAAACCACATATCACAGTTGTCTCAAGTCTTTGAAAAGGAAAGACTGTGTGGCATTCTAATTAAAGCTGGTTTTGTTTGATTTTCAGGAAGCAAATCCTGCAGTGTTTCAGGAAGCAAATCTCTCTATGACAATTCTTTTGGTCTGGCTAGCTCTCCCCACATTTAGCCAACAGAAGTAAAGCAGCAGGCAAAGTATGTGCTCCTTCTATTTAATTAACCTGTTTTAATTTGCTTCTACCAAGTTCTTGCAGATGAAACAGCTGGGTTCTTCCTTGTGTTTTTGCCTCTTTTCATTCACATATCTTAATCTTTCATTGAAAATGATCAAAAAGCAACAGCAGCAGATGGGGATGCAATATGAAAGGTCTTGCAATAGAGATGAACTATCAGAGGGGGAAAAAGGCTGGAAAAGGTTTCAGATTATGTTTGGAAAATATCTCCAGGCATCAGAATTCACTGCCATCTCTCCCTCTCCATCTCCATCTCCTTCTCATGCACACATGCACAGTCTTCTTAAAGAAAATGTCAGATAAGTTTAGTCTTCTGAGCTCTTAAATCTAAATATTTCACTTTTGGGGTGTTTGTTCATTTTAAGAAAAATCTTAGCCGTGTTACTTTTGTCTCAGCACCTAGAGAGTTCAGAGATGTATGCAAAAAGCATAAGATGGTCTCAGTGTTTGCATTTTCCATTCTCCTGGGCACAAATTCTTCTTCTGATCTCTGGGACGCACCCAGCAGAACAAAGCTCTGACAGGAAGCAACTGAGAGTCACAATATTCTGTGTCTAAAAGGGTTTATGGATCCAGCACTGATTCGCCCCACAGAGAGCTGCCTTTTGTGATCAAAAAGGAACAAAGAAATATTCCAAGTAGACTTTATCTTCTCAGGTTTTAAAGGCAAATCATGAAGGTGGAATGGAGGGAAGCTTGCAAATATGGTGCCCACTGCTTGGGGTTATTTAAGTGCACCAGACAAATGTATATCCCACTGCACCCTACAAACAGTGACCATGAGGAGCATGAACATAATAAATCCAGTGCCCACACGGAGCTGTAACAAGGACATCTGTGGCAGGTGTCAGACAACAGTGGAAGGGAAGGGGCAACCAGCACACATTGCCGGAAGTACAGAGCCATGTCTCTGAACCAAAGTTCAAACATAGAAAGGCACTCAGAGGAAAATGTATCAAAGGCAGTAAATGGCAGAAGCTAATGCAAAGGCTGGCCAAGTGAGGGGAAAGAACTGGTCCAAGCAATATTAGAATAGAAGTTTGGTTTTAAATAGAAAGCATTTGCACTTTTTCTTTTTGGCCCCTGCCTTACCTGGATTCACCTTGGTTGATGGCAAGATAGATTTCCCAAGATGTTTCTTCAGGAATAGCACCATGAGGGATCAGCAGGCTAACACCTGCAACAAAATAAGTGTTACTCGACAGGATTCCAAATCTCTGCTGAAAGTAGAGAGAATCACAGTTTCAGCAAAGTGTTAGACTGAAGGTACATAATGGCTTCGGTGCAGTGCAACTCATAATGGCTTCAATACGTGCATTTTCTCCATCATCCTCCAAATGATTGTATAACATGGTCCATGTTCCAATTTGTAGGCATTAAGTATACCACAATGCTTGTACTGCAATCACTCATCAAGGACTTAGGTAAGATTAAGTTCCTTTTGTGTGAAGTGTTCAGAAAGTACCAGATGGAGGTGGGTTTTCAGCATACACTAGTAAAGTTTGGTTTTGTTTGGCAAATTTCATAAGTCCATTTCCATACTGCTTTTTGAAAACACAGAACAAAAGAAAAGAGAAATCTCTTGGAAGTTTGTATTCAGAAAGAATTTGATGGCAATTTTGGAAGGAAAGAATTGGAACATCACCACCAGCAATCTTTTGGAGTTAGATGTCCCCTGGGAAAGACCTAAATTTTCTGACCTTGCTTCTGGTTTGGATTGGTTTCTTGTGCTGCTGTTACATGGATCCTTGCTAAGATACATTTCCTTGGGTTGTGCCTCATTTTGGTTGCCTTTTAATGTTTGACTTAGTTTAGACAGCTCTTTTCTTACCTGGTAAAACCGTGCTCCTGATGTCAGCCTGCCATTGACCTTGCTGTATTGATATACCCAATAGATTTCCCAGACTGAGCTTATCTCAGCCATAGAAGGACATACTTTCTGAGTGTGCTGTGGGAGGACTTGGATCTGCAGGATCCATAACTTTCTCATTTTGCCAACATCCAAAAGAAAATGGGAAGAATATAGATCAACTCTTAAGCAAGCATTCTTCCTTGGAGGCCCTATTGGTGATGGAAATAAAATAGGGCATCTGAGGAAAATTGTAAGCTATGACTAGGTTCATTTTGAAGGACTGGGGACCTGGGAGTTCCAGGTTCTAGTCCAAACTCAGTCCTGAAGCTCACTGGGTGTTTCTGGGCCAGTCATTCACTGTCAACTAAACTACCTCACAGGACTGTTGCTTGTGAAATAGAGCTATGTAAGCCACCCAGGGACCCTTGCAAAAGGAAACAAAGTGGGGTATAAATGCAACATAATAATAGCAATGAGAACATAATAAAATCATATCCTTCCTATAGCTTCGCCTGACTTCGGGTAAGAAGCAGCACACTGATTGTTCACTCCACCTTCAAGACAGTTTGCTTGTGACTGCACCATTTTTCTAATGTCTTGAGCAACATCACTATTCCGCTTACTAGGTCCAGGACACACCAGCATCTGGTTTTTGTAAGGCATAATTCTGATCACAGCATGATTAGCTCAGATTTGCTCCAAGCCAAACACATTTTGAAAGCCGTTTTTGTAACTGAGTGCTAACACTCTTTACAAAATGGGCTTTTGAACAAAGAATTCCAAGCATCATCTTTTGTGAGTCTAATCTTAAGAATGTTCTCTTTTTATTTAATGTTACCTTTTCAGAAAAACCTTCCCTTGAGATTTTTTAGATTTCAAAAGACTTCGCTGTTCACTCCACTTTCAGACAATGGATTTATTGGCCAATGTCATGTGCACAAATGCTTTTCTTATGGAAACAGTTTTGGCTAATCTCACATATAAACACACATTTGAAGGAAGACCTCTGTGGGGTCTGGCAATGTTGAATCACTCATCCTATTTACTTGATTTATGCCTTATATAGATCTTCTAGGAAAGCATTTTGGGGCACTTCTCAAAAATATGATGCGATGGTCCATATAGAATAAACTCTTATACAATACAGGGAAATTCCTCAGGGGCTAAGTTGTCCAATTTGTGACCTGTGGTCAAAGGGCTGGATACCAATTTAAGAATGTAATGCTGGATTGTACAGGTTATAACCTCATTTGAATGACATATTGTCCTGGTTTACAGAACGGTTTAATATTACCTAGTACTACTGCTGTAGACAATCAAGTAAGGTACAATTGCATGGTGAAGAAGGGCCAGAAACCTGTAATTTAAAGGGGAAAGCAATTGGTCTTGTAAAGAGCAAGGTGCCCTGAAGGCTAAACTCTTGCCTGTAATGTACAATGTAAATTCATGACTATTTGCACTTTTTGTGTATGAGTTGCCATTGCCCTTGGTTGGCACAGTTTTGGTTGCTGTTTTGATCCACAAGAGCACACATGAGTCAAGTACAATGTCTGAATGACTCAGAAAACCTGTGTCATTGAAGAAAAAAACAATTGCATTTCACAGGGCGAAAAAAAATGATTTCATCAAATAGTTGGATGGATGCTCAAGGGCCAGGCTTCTATTTTGACATGCCACTCCAGCAGTTAGCTTTGATTAAGAAAGAAAGGGAAGAACACCTGCTACCCTGACAGCCTTTTGTGTCTCCTGTGAAAAGAGAGCAGCCTATTATGAGATTCATATTATTTTGCATATAAAAATGAATCCAGGAACATGCACAACCATAGCCCAACTGGGCATTCTCCCTCAGGCAATTATTATTATTATTATTATTATTATTATTATTATTATTATTATTTTTTATTAAAACATTTCTATGCCGCCCCATTCGCCGAAGCCTCGGGGCAGCTCACAACATAAAATAAAATACAAAAATAACAATATAAAAATAACAATATAAAATAAATAACAATATAAAAGAAGTTGCCCTGGCATGTCGGCAGCCAGTGCAGTGAGGGAGGAGCTCCCGCAAACAGCTGCACTCAGCAAGTTCTGCTCTAGTTCCAGCGTCCAGACGAGCCCTCAGGGCGGCAGCACCGCCCTGGTGGATGAATTCGGAATGCCCCCCCCCCCC